GTTTCTTACATCGAGTCGTTGTGCTTGAGTTAGGTTTCCATGAAGCTCAGCTGCTTTGAGGCCGGCTAGTCCAAATAAAATTTTCAGTCTATGTGCAGCTTGTTTTGTTCCACTGGCACAAAAAGGGATCAGAAATCTCTAAGTGAAATGCAAAAAGCCAAACTTTACAAGCACTGTATGGAACTTGGATTAGAAAGGCGTGAAGTCCAACCTAAAGATTATGACTTTTGATTTAAAAGTTCTTGTGCACAATGAAAGAAGAACAGCTTCCTGATTCGCCTCGCGAGTCCTGCGTATTCTTACTACCCTGCAGTTAAGAGCTAACAAGTTAGCTGCATAGCATATAAGATGCATATTCACCATTAAAAAGGTTAGTTGTCGATATATATACATATATATTTGAGACAGTTTGAATTGATAAGTAGTGGCTAACATACTCCTCTGTCAAGCCAGGTGGCCTTCTAGCTGATGGATCAGCTGAGAGGCGTAGCGGTTTGTTCAAGGAAAGTTTGACAAGCTCTTTAACTTCTTCAGTCATGGTGGCTGAGAAGAGCATTGTTTGCCTTCTCTTGGGACATAAGCGAACCTGCAAGTAGATATGGACATGTATTTAAACCCAACAACAAACAGCCTAGCATAAACTCTCCTGTCACTATAAATTACTTTATGTCGACTTCTGCATACTAGAAACTAGCAAAGACAAGACGAACTAACAACAGTTAAATATCATATGTTCACAGGAGCCAGACATATCAAACAGAGATAGGAAAGATACCACTTACCAGCTCTTGTATTTCAGTGGCAAACCCAGTCTGTAGAAGACGATCTGCCTCATCAAGAATTAAGACTGCGAGATCATCCAAATCGACAGACATAGAATTACGCAAATGATCTATCATACGCCCAGGAGTTGCCACAACAATATCTGGCATAGACCTGAGAACCACCTCTTGCTCCTATGACACAAAAAACATGAAAGATTTAGCATGCTTGCTACAATTCCAAAGGTTTCATTTTAAGAAACATCTATTAGAGAGGAAATAAGCTTGCTCTCAAGCATAAAAAATGTAAACTGAGATATGTATATCAGCAAGAAAGACCAATTCTCCAAATAATTTAAGCAAACGCATGAAAGGTTTCAAGAAATCTGCAACCTAAGAGACAGATAGAATCCATACCCTTACAGAAAGCCCTCCTACAATCAATCCACATTTGATATCAGTAAACTGTGCAAGCTTCTGAATCATACTGTGAATCCTGCAACACGTAAAAAGAACGAAAACAAATCAGCTTTTCAGCAACAGGAATCGAAAGGACTTAAAAGGTTTAGTATTGTTACCGAGGCCAAAGTTAAGCTACTTACTGGACAGCCAACTCCCTGGTTGGAGTGAGAATAAGAACCCTAGTAGCAAAGACACGCTTGGGACGGAACAACAACCGCTCAAGAGTAGGTAAAGCGAACGCAGCAGTCTATTAAAGCAAGGGAAATTGAATTCATTATCAAAACTACATTTTAAGTGGAATACTTAAACAATCACAGAATCATCGAACAACTGCTAACCTTCCCTGATCCAGTAATGGCACTGGCACAAAGATCACGCCCTGTAAGTGCTAAAGGTATACAAGCTGCCTGCATTTGCAACAATCAGCGATTTCAGATGAAATCTCTCTCTCTAAATTGTAGTAATGAAATCTATAACTTGTTCGGGAGAAACTGGACCTGAATCGGAGTAGGTTTCTTGTAACCAAGAGTTTCACAAGCTCGAAGCAAAGGACGAGAGAGATTAAGCTCCATGAATGAATCGGCTTGAAACGAAACTCCATCCACAGTAGAGAAAAACGGCTTAGCAGCAACATCTTCTGCTTTTAACTCAGCTGTCTCTTCGTCTTCCGAAAGATATTCCTCCTTCACATTTTGTCAAAAATCAATTTCTTCGAACAACGGATTTGAATCAAATTCAAATATACAAATTTAGGGATTTTACTTGTTGGTTGGGTTCGGCATCATCGGAGACATT